TTACATTTTTTTATTATAAATACAACAAAATTGCTACCAATTTGTATTTTAAGAGAAAGCAAATGCTACATGATAAAAAAGCTCCTTTTATATAATTGTATAGTTTCAGAAGAATAAATGGATAAATATTAACTTAATGAAATATTTCATTAAATATCTTAATCATATAAGAAGTTCAAATAGCAAATCAAAATTTTTTACTATAATGGTATATGATTCTTTTAAAGAATATATAAAAGAATCTGTTAAAAAAAAATTTTATAAAAATAATATTGATCTAACAATCATTACAGAAAATTTATCAAGTGTTTATCAGTTTTTTGATATCACCATTAATAAAATAACCTTTATAAAGAATATAAAGAATGGTATTTTTGGATATCTAATAGTAATATTAGATATACTGAAGCAAAAAATCTCTGATGTGTTAGAATAAGTGATTTTTGTGAATAAGTAAAGTGTATATAAGATAATATTTTTAATAAACTTATTATTTATTTCTTTAAAAAATGTAGTATATCTAATGCTTTAAATAGGTTAAAAAATAATGTTTATAAAGAAATTGATAAATTTCTTAAATAAAAAAAAAAGAAAAAGAATTTGAAATAGTTGATATAAATAGTGATAATAATAATAAATAAAAATTATTTATTTTTTATGTTCTGTAATCTATAATCTATAATAATAATAAAGATTAATAAAGTATAAGAATGCTTATTTTTGATGGTATTTATTTTTAATTTTTGCATAAATTATGTCTAAATAAAAGATATACTTATTTTTAAGAAATACTTAATTTTGATAAAATATAGTATTTTATTATATTTTATAATAGAATTTATATAGTGCATAAATAAAACATTCATTTACTTCAGAGATCTGAATCTATTTTTTATATTTATAATGGTTAATTATCATGTATCAAAGTTCTTGTTCAAATTATTCAGATAGCACTTTACCTATTATCACTTTATATAAACTTAGTATTACATGAGTTAAGAAAATAATAATATGAAAAATAATAAGAAGACTATACTTAAAGTTCTAAACAATTTAAATTAATCTGAAGATTTTTTAGTTCAGATCAATTCAGATTATTTTTAAATTACATCTAAAAATTCAGTTTAATTATATATAATTTTTAAAGAAAATGTGCAATTTATATACAAACTCTTTAAGAATTACTTACAAGTTCTCTTTAAGAATTACAAAAATTTTGTGATACTCTTTAAAATTTATTTACAAATTCTCTTTAAAGATCATGAAAAATTTGCAAATTCTTTTTAAAGATCACGAAAAATTTGCAAATTTGAGAATTATATACAAATTTTCTTTAAAGATCACAAAAATATTACGAACTCTTTAAAAATTTACTGTGAATTCTTTTTAAAGTTCACAATAAAGTTGCGATTTCTCTAAGAGTTTCATATATAAATTGTGAATTTTTTTGAGATTTGCATATAATTAAACCAAAATTTTAAATTGATTTGAAAATTTCAGTTTATTTTATATTTAAATTAGCATTTTTAAAATTAATAAATCAAATTGAACTGAACTAAAATTCCAGATAAAATTCAAATTGGCTTTAATTCAAATTGAATTAAACTATTTAGAGCTTTAGTCATACTGCTAGAACTTTTATATCATTACAATTTAGAAAGTAAACTAAATTCTATTTAATTTTTATGATAAGATGTGAAACTTTATTAATTTTTAATAAAAAAATAAAGGTAGCAATAGAAATAAGTAATGCTATTAAAAGTGAGAAAGTATGCAGATGCTTTTAATATAAGTCTAGTATTAAGTTATTTCTTTATTCTCAAATTTCTTATAATTTCTATACTATTTTTATTACTATTATTAATTACTACCTGTATATTCTTTTATTATATTAGATTTTTAAAATAAATTATTCTACTTATATCTATAAAAGTTTTTTATTTATATCACATAAATATATATTCTTCACAAAAAATCTTCTTCAAAATTGAGTAATTTTGAATCTACTGTTTTTTGTGATACTAATAACTGAAAATTAGTATTAATGTAAGATTAATAAAAAATTATTTTCTATTATAAAATAATCTTCAAAATCTAAAGATTAAAAAATATATAAAATTATAACTTTAGCATTTATAATTAATAAGTTATAGGTTTTTAAACCTAAAAAATGACTACTTGCGTTTTTTTGATAGCTACTATATATTGAGATACTTCAAATTTGGATATGATTTTACTATTAATTTTAAAGCTTTACTAGTAAAATGTTTAATTTTTTAAAATTTAAATGAATTATATTTAGGAATATATACATAATACTTTTAATTTTTAAAATTGAGTAATAGTATGATATTTTAAGATAAATTAAATATGAATTATTAATTAATTTTCATTTTTTCCTACATATTATTTTAAAAAATTTTCTAATTAGAATTAATCCTTTATTCTATTTCTTTAGCTTAATATATTTTTCATAGATAAAGGATATTGCATTTGTATCAAAGCTGACAAATAAATAAAGTAAAATAGAAAAATTTATCTATCGTTAAGAAATATAAAATCTGTTTCAATAATTCTGATAAATAAAAAATGTTTAATTATATCATAAATAGTATATATTATATCTTATATATCTAAATAGAAAAAGCTTTTAAGTAGATGATCATACTTTAAACTAAAGCTTTTTATTATCTCATTTAATGCAGGTATTTGAAAGTTATCAATAAGGATTTTTAATTTATTCTTAAGTGATAACCTATTGAGAAATATATTTTTAACTAGTTTTTTTGTAATAATTTATACTCTATATTACATTTTTTTAACTTTAAATAAAGTTTCTTTATTATACATTTATTTTGAATTATTAATATAAATTGAAATTTTATAAAAGTTTTTCTTTTAAATCATTCAAGATTTATTTTTTTCCTATATATCATTTATATTGCAACATTTTTTAAGATTTTGTATTGATAAATTTTTTAAAATAAAGGGTATTAATTTAAATACAAGTTGATCAAGTATATTAGCTATATATATTTTATATAATTAGAAGAATATTTTAATTAAAAATAATTCTTCTAAGCTAATGATCACTATTTTAGATTAATAGTAATTATTTTAGATTTAAATTTTTTATATTAAATATAGCTTAACTTTATCAAAACAATAATAACAAATAACGTTAATAATAACTTTAGTTAAAGTGAAACACTTGATCAATTATATGAAATGATTTTATATAAGAAGAAGAATATAATAATAATTCAAGAAAAATTTAACATTAGAAACAATATGAATTAAATAATAATTCATCAGGTAAGAAAGTGAAAACATTTATTAATCATATAAATTATTATTAGATTTAGTAAGAAATTTATTTCTAATATAGAAAAATTTTAATATTAATGATAATTTTATTTTAGTATTTAAATATCAAAATAATAAAGCTTCTATATATAGATCATTTATGAAAATATAATTTGCTTTTATATTTTTATATTTGAAAGTGAATATTATTACATCTAAAATGAATATGCAAAAAATTTTTTTTTTAAAAAAAGTGTGATAGTTTTGTACAATCTTAATTAATATTTAAAAATTTATAAGTAAATTAAATAAAATAGAAATACAAAAATATTCATAAAATAGTTTAAACTACTTTATTAATACCAACCTTGCACTTTATCAAATTGAATTATATATTAGAAAAGAAAGAAAAGAAAACTTAATTAAACTAAACTAGTATACAGATATTAGATGTTCAGAAGGAAAGGTGTGCTTACTGTTATACTAAAAATTTGATCATTGAATACCATATGTAAAAGCTGCTAAGAAAGAAGAAGGATTATTAGGTGATATTTGTGATGTATAAGGGAAATCAGAGGAGACCTAAGCGATATCTTTGATATTATTTGAATTTTCTATAGTTGTAAAGATTCAAATCTTTTTAACCAAATGTTGTGAATAGATGTGAATATATTATCAAATAAGAAGGAAAGTAGTCCTAACGAGAGTTATTTGTTAGAAATGATGGTATTGACCAATAATGAAAAGGATAAAGGAATAATTTTACCTTCTATACAATATTCTCTCAAAAAATTTAATAATTTATTCTTTTTCAAAACCAAATTGATATCTTGATTTTTTACTATTTTGGACTTTCTTCATTAGGAAAATGTGTATTCATATTACTTTTTTTTATTTTTATGTGATATATACTTGAGATGATTATCTATGGTATTTTTTGATATGATTAACGGGATATTTACAAGTAATACAGATCACTTTATCATTCGATTCATAAAAAATTTAACAAGCCGTAGAATTTTTTTATTAAATATTAATAGGGTGATAATTGTGATAATTATAATGGAAATTGCTTTTGTTATACTCGAATCCTCCCCCGCATAAATCACGTGAAATTGACGCATTTTATGTACATAATATGCACAAATATAAACCTGGACGCTAATGAACTTTAGTCAAAGACTTTAAACAACAACACACCTTTTCCAACCCTTATTGAAATTTGTTTTTTCCCCACTTTGCTATGAAAACAGCGGGATTATAGCTTCAAGGATGTAACTTAAATCTCTTTGTTAGCGCTCAGACATTGAAAATGAAATATTTACGTGTATTGCGAAACTTGTATTACGTAACTTGTATTACATGAATCTTCATATGTAAATTAATATACGTTATCATTCGTGTTCAAACAGAATTCAAAATGGAATTTTGGAAGTAATAAAAAAAATCTTTCTATTAATAGTATTACATTTTCCCGCAGCTAATGCTCTTCCCTTTTTATGATGTTGCAATAATTATTCTTTAGCCTAAATTGGTTAAAAATTTTTTAAAAATAATGTTATTTAGCCATCGTTGGTTTCACGAACAATTCCTTTTTCTCGTATAAATATAAGGTTTCTTGTTATTTTGGTCTCAAGTTGGTACTATAATTTTTTCGGAAAATTTTACACGTTTCTTGTTTTCAATAACGAAATATGGAACAAACTATTATAAGTACATCTAGTGGGTCTAGTAATGTAGCTGGGGAAAGACGACCTGAAATATTTGCAAATAACTTTTGGGTAAGAGAAGATACGAATGTTCATTTTGAAGGCATTTATTTGTCTCGGAATGAACTTTCTCTTATTGCCGATTAAAAAAATAAACTTTTTTTTTATATTATGGAAATAATAGGGAAAAGAAGAAGCGGGGTATGACGCACTTATGTCTAGACTTAGGCAAGCTAAGCAAACTTGCGATGAAGTGAAAAATATGTTTCAAGAGAGGTAACTTTTTTCGAATTGATTAATGCGATTTGGTTTTCGAATTGAATTGGTTTTAATCTATATGATTTATTAGAGCATTGATCGAAGAAGAATATGCAAAAAAATTAATGAAATTATCCAAGTCACCAATTGGCAAAGATGAAACTGGGTATTTGATTTTTTTATTTTTATTTTTTTTTGCTTTTTAAGGATTTAATTCTCGGAAAAAAAACGAAACAATATTAATTATTCATTATAGTTCACTACGAGATGCATTAGAAGTATGCAGACAAGAGATGGAGGCAACAGCACAAGAACATATCACATTATCGCAAAAGATCCGAACTGAACTTGTACAAGAAATTTCACATTTTATATTGAGACAAAAAGAATCAAGGAAGTTGGTAAGATATATATATTTTTTTGTTGGGTGTTTTTTCATTGGGAAAAGTTATTTTTTGTTTATATGATTTAATTATATTTTGAATATAGCAACAAGCCATTGTAGATAGAAGTTTGAGGAACAAGAGAGAACAATCAGTATTAGTTCAAAGGGTAAACAAAAAATATTTTAAATAAACTGAGAAATGTTTAATATATATATATTTAATGTTAAAATTCTGAACTTTTAATTAGGCTAAAGAAAAGTACGAAGCAGAATGTGTGAAAATTACAGGATTATTGGCCAGTAAAAATTCCGTGATGGGTAAAGATTTGGACAAGGTACGATGAAATGATGGGTCCTTAACTTTCTTCTCCTAATATAGTTCAAAAGTGTTAACATTTTTGGGATCTGATATAGTTAAATTTGAGGATAGAAAAAACTCAAATTGCAGCAAAAGCAGCAGATCAAGAATATATTCAATTAGTTAAAAATATACAAATAACGACAAAAACATGGAATTATGATTGGAAAACGGCATGCGATAAATTCCAAGATTTGGAAGAAGATAGGATTGATAAATTAAAAAGTTTTTTATGGACTTATGCAAATCTTATTTCAACCGTTTGTGTAGCAGATGATGAAGTAAGTTTGACATTGTGTATTAGCTTAATCAAAATTTCATCAGGGAATAAAGTTATTAATATTTCGCTCTGCCCTCTTCCTTTCGCGATATAGTCATGTGAGAGAATCAGAATTTCATTGGAAAATTGTAACGTTGAAAAAGATATATTAATATTTATCAGAGAGAGGGCAACGGGACCTGATATACCTGGTAAAATTTTAATATTATTTATTCTTTTATAAATTTCTTTAAACTAATTCCTTCCCTTTTTCCAACTTTGGTAGAACCGCAAAGTTATGTTAACTTTTACGCGGGTCCAAAAGAAAATGGAGTAAGATATAAGCGAGCATCATTTGATAGGGTACCGGAATATGTAGATGTAATAACGACACCTACAACGCAATTAGATCCAAATAAAAGACTCTCACTATGTGAATTACCAATCACAAATAATAATAATTCTAAGGATAATTGTGTATATCATACAAGAAATGATTCAGATGGTTATTCAAATGTGAATATTGATAGAGCAACTCTATATGCAAATACAACATCAACTAAAAAAAACAATAATAATAATGGAGGAATAGTAAATGAGGTAGAAAGAACTGAGAAAAACGAGGTGGAAGAAGAACCAGTTGATCCTAGATCAAAACAAATGTTATCAATTGGAAATAATGTATTAGAGGTACAAACCAATATTGGACAATTAAATAATAAAGAAGATCAAGATGAAATAGCAAAAGCATTGGCAAATTTGGAATTAACTGATGAATATAACAATAATAATAAAAACGATAGTGACGTTAATAACGATAATAAAGATAATTATGATAATAACGATCATAACAGCAATAACAATAGTAATGATAATCAGGTATCACGATTTAATACTTCTACTAGTATGAATAATATTTCGAATAATGGTAATGGGGAAGGATTTGTTAAAAAACCTTTACCCAATAACTTTCCTATCGATAAACCTCAACCACCAACTCCTCCTGTCCAAGATAATATTCAACAACAAAAAAAATCGCATGATATCTATCATCAACGTAATAACTCTCAATCACAATTTACGCCCTACCAAATAAGCAGTAATAATAATATTCCTATCGCTCCTACAGTTATCGGTGTTACTAATAATAATCACAATAATAATAATAATAATAATAATAATAATAATAATAACAATAATAATAATACACCATCTTCAATTGCTCCATCAACTATTTCTCAACATCAACAACAACAGCAACAATATATGATCAATGGACCGGGAGATTTAAGAAGATCACAACCAGATTACACTAACGCCGCAAACAATGGACCATTATCATCTCAACAACAACAGATTTCACAAAATTTGAGTATGAAGTCCAAATCATCTAATCGAAACTATCAGCAACAACCAGAAGGTCCTGGTGATGCTAGAAGATTGTCAAATTCTCCTAATATGTTTTCTTCACCACCACCAATTTCGTCTCAAGTTCAATATCAATCTCCACAGGGTGGATATCAACAAGTACAAGGACAAATGAACCCTCAGAATCTAGTTCTTACCCAAGGAAGGATTTCTCCTAGACAAATTACGGCATCCCCAAGTCATACTCCTTCTAACAACATCAACAACAATAATCTAAACGATCTAAACAGATCAGATACTCAACGAACTACTTCTTCTAATACTAGTAATAATTCTTTGGGCATACAATTAGACGTAAATGGTCGCGTTAAGCAAGATGACTTGGCCGAAGCTTTTATTGCTAATGGTGGTAGACTGCCTCCCGAGTCCGCTAAATTTCAAACAAGACCGCAGGGAATACCTCAAGGAGGTCAGATGAGTCCACAAGGACAACCTATTTTTCAATATAGTAGTTTTAATAGACCATTACAACAAATGCCTACAAATCCATCTGTAATTACATCTCAGTCTTCTTATAATGGTCCACATCAGCAGCTACAACAACAATCACATCCTCAAGTACACAGAAGTAATACGGTGAATTCAGGCTCTACTTTAAATAATGCTTTCCCTTATAAACAACCGCAACAAGGAGTTAATGTTAATTCGCAACTTCCTCAGGGTAGTATAGGTAGACCACAGGGCAGTATAGGTAGACCACAGGGCAGTATAGGTAGACCACAAGGTAGTATAGGTAGACCACCACTTAGAAGAACTTTACCCGTTGGTATTCAACAGTCTCAATCACAACCACAGATACAACCAACGCAATTATTACAACAACCTATAGGAACCCAAGTACTGGGACATCCTCAAACTCATTATCAAAATCCAAATTTCTATAGTCCCCCTGTTAGTGGATATCCAAGACCTCCTATTGGATCTGCTAATATTGGCGGGAGTGCTCAAGGATTTCAACAAATGCAAGTGCCTCAACAGCAACTTATGCAACAACAACCACCGCTTCAATTGCAACCTTATACTAGCTTAACTGCATCTCAACAACAACCACAACAGCAACAACAACAACTACCACAACAGATGAACCTCCAAACACTTCATTTACAGTATCAAAGACAATCCTTACCAGGATCCGATATACCCGATTCCAGTGGCTCTCAAAATCATCCACGTACCGAAGATGGTAAACCGATCGAATTTTACGGTATGTATATCTTTTATATTGCAATTTTGATCTTATCTTTTCCATTTTCTTTAATAACCATATAAAATATTTTTTGTAGTTAAAGCATTATATGATTATCAAAAAACTATACCCGAAGAAATGTCATTTACAACTGGTGATGTTATAGCAGTATTAAGCACTCATAGTGATGGTTGGTGGGAAGGTGAAATAGTAGATGATTCAAGAAAGAATAGAGGTTTATTCCCTAGTAATTATACTAAAGTATTAGAGTAGATTCGAGAAAAGATGCTTGTTGCTTTTGTTTATTTGTATTAATTATTAATAGAATAATTCATGTATTTTTTTTTTCCTTTTTTTTTGCTTTTATTTATTTATTTATTTTTTTATTTATATCATTATAGTTAAATTAATAAAAAAAGGTGTAAATATTTTTATGGTTAAAAATTGACCTAGTTAAATTTCTAATTTTACTACTTAGGTCTCTACTCTTTTCCGATCCTTTACCTCTTTTTTATTTATTAGAACTTTTTTAGTTGAGCTTTCCCAACCGAATTTCCATAAAGTTAATTATGGAACAACCTCAATTCCAATACCACCAGCAGAAGCAACAATAGATTTACAAATAAATTTTAAATCGTGATTTTTCATATTATTTTGTTTTTGTTTAATTTTGGCAATTTCATAAATATGTTTTAAACTAACTCTACCAGCAATTTCATGCTTTGGTTTAGCTGCACCTTTTTCAATTCTTGCAGCCCTCTTTAATAACCAAGCTGTTGGTGGCATATTACACATAAACGTAAACTTACGATCAGGTTGTATTTGAATTATTGTTGGAATTGGTGTATCTAATTCGTAATTTTTTGTTAGTTCATTGAATTGTTTGCAAAAATCTATAGCTTTCACTCCTCTCTGTCCTAATGCTGGTCCTATTGGTGGAGTTGGTGTTGCTTTACCAGCTGGTACCAATATCTTTATCTTTGATACTGTTCCCATTACTTTTGAAATTGCTTTTGACATTTTTTTTTTTTTTTTTTAAAAAAAAAAAGAAAATTTGGAAAATAGAGAATTGGATGAATAAGGAATTTTACAGGAAGCTAGTGCATCAATTAAAGAATATCAATAGATGAAATACTGAAAAAAAAAAAAGTTGTAATGAATTTGTTCAAAAGAAAATTAAATGTTCAAAAACGTTTTTCGGCTTGATAATCTTTTCAAATCATAACGCCAATCAAATTCATTTACCATACGTGCCCGATGACATTTAATGGTCACTCTCAAAAAAATCAAAAAAAAAAATTTTTTAAAAAATATCACACTGGACAGTTAATATGGACTTTTCACATTATAATGCTGCCGAAAGAGAACATATTGTGAAGTTACTCGAACAGAAACAAGTTTGTATCGTATTAAAGATTATTTTTTCTTAAGTTTACCCTTTTAATGTTTTTATTTTAAATCATCGAATTCTTATCGAGAAAACTTTACAACGATCTTTTAATTATTAAACTAATAATGTTTGAATTTTATTTTTTAAAAATATTTTCATTATCCAATATAAACAATAATAAATTTTCAAAAGATGAGAGATTTTATGAAATTTTATTCAAGTTTGGTTGATAGATGTTTTAATGATTGTATTAATGATTTCACTTCAAAAACATTAACAACAAAAGAGGTAAGATTATTTCTTTTACATCAGAAATAAACCTTTCGAAAATATATTTTCTTTTTTCCAATCTAATTTTATAAATTTTCTTGGGGATGTTTTTTTTCGTTTACGTCTTTAGGAGACGTGTATTCAACGATGTACCGATAAATTTTTAAAACATAATGAAAGGGTAGGACAGAGATTTGCAGAATATAATCAAGGTGTGGCAGCTCAAGCACAATCAGCTCAATCCGGAAGCGGAGGGTGGTTTGGTGGCGGTCGATAAATTAAATAATTGGTTTTGATTATAAAGGCATAAATTTTAAAAAAAACAAATTAATGAATGACATAAAAGTTCGTCATAGGTATAGAAATTTATTCCGGGTATTCGGATAAAATCATGTTATTCATACGGGTATGGAAATAATTTAGTTATTCTTACGCCTAATTTAAAATTTAAAATTATGAAAACATTATGACATACTGTTCATCATAAATGTTCATTATATAAATAAATTCTTTCCCTCCCAAAAGAAATTTTTTTAAATTTAAACATCTTTACAAAACATGTCTTTATCTAAAATGGACGAAGATAACAAAGAATTGGTATGTGACGAAATGAGAAATCATCAATTTAAAAAATTCATTGAAACTTATATGTAACAAACTTTAATCATGCAGTTTAATGGCATCTTGGGTGAATTTAATCCAGGATCATTGTTAAACACACGTGACATTTCGCACGACTTATTAAGCGGTGATAATGGATTTCCATCCATTGATGTGTGAGTGCACACAAATTTTAAATTCCAAAGATCACTATAATGCTTATTAACATGCATTTTACATTTATAGTCATCAAGATGATAAAGCTTGGGTCGCAAAGATCAAATTGGATGGTATTGATAAAGATGATCTTGAGGTATGGAAAGTTGCACATCTTAAATTTAAATTACACTTTCTTTCCAAGATATGATATTATAGGCTTGATTTGTTTTGAATTAGGTTGAAGTAAAAGATGATAGTTTAATTGTAAGCGGAGAATACAATGAAACCTCTGAAAATACAACCGACAATGGAACTATTAGAGAAACCAAATCAAGTTCTTTTGAACGTTCCATTTCTATTCCAGAAGGGTTTAATACTAAATCTGTTGATAAAAAATATGATGATAATTTTTTAAAAGTTACTGTTGAAAAGGAATAATGTATTCGTTTTAACAAATTTTTATATATTAAAGATACTCGTTAAAAAACTTGAATTTTTTTCAAAAGTAAATGTGAAATTCGTATAAAGAATTCTCACCTTTTCAAAACATCATATTAATTCCACAGAATTATCTTTCAGGGCATCTCTCATGTACGCATATTTATCCATGATAACATCTCCCGGTTCATGTTGTATAGCACTAAAATAGGAAACAAAAGTCGAAAAAATAAATAACGGGAATTTTTTTTTTTTAAAAAAAAAAAAAAAAATCAGAATAAATAAGTAAAATTCTTTTTTACGTGTCTTGTGCATCTCGAGGAACTATATTTTTTAAGACTCGACAAAATACAGTTTTCGAAAGATCTGGTTTCTTTTCAAAAGTCTTTATTATACCTGCAAGACAGAAAATATATAAAATTGAAGATGTCAATCAAATCTTTAAGCGCAAAATATTTATGAATTGCTACTGACTATCTTCTAAACAATCATTTGGAAGTTTGAGTTCCGCTTTTAGATAATCTTCGAGTAACATTTTATAACTAAATAAAAAAAAATTTTTTTTTTTTTGTTATTTTCATTTTCTATTCCTAAAAAGACGCGCATTAGATATATGAACTTACTCCTCTGCATGGGTTAGTTCAGCCGTGGATAATCTTTCCTTGTAAATAGGAGACGAGAGGATGCCCAAGACTTGAGTTTCTATCTGAGAAATTTAAAAAAAGATTTTTAAATTTTTTGAATGATTTGATTATGTGAAAATAAAAATCGCGCAATATAAATACCTTATTTCTTCTACAAAGCAAATATTTTTCCATAATATATTTAATTCGGTCAGTACCACTAAACAGGAGCATACCAAATTGTTTCCGTTCGTGCGTTACCAACATTTCTTTTGAAACCGCATCCTTATAAAAATTTTTTTTTTTTTAAAAAAAAAAGATTCGAGATAATGGAAAATGAAAATAAAGAAAAGAAATAATTATTATTTAATGCATACTTGTTCTTGGATCAACTTATCCAAATTATCAATGGCTTTATCTTGATACATTAAAATTTCCGGCGAAAATTCTTCATTGATCAAAGACCTTTTCAAAATTTCATAATCATTTGATGTTTCAGCATCTTTAAGTTGAGTTTCTTGATCCTTTTCATCCTCCGTATCACTATCTGTCAAATCATCGATATCAAGGTCAATGTCTGGTAACTCTCGAGTAGGTCGAGTGGGTCGAGATAACCTTGATGAACCTGCATGACCTAATTCATTGAGAGAAAAGATACGAGACATTTTTTCATGTACTTTTTAGAAATTGAAACAAGATTAACTTGCACCATTTTATTAAATCTTATCTCCTTTTATGGTATGGAAGGTTAACGCGTGTAAAATACCTGATAAAGAACGATAGACTGCTTGGGATTGCCAATTACGTACTTTTGAAAGATGTCATCACATCATTATAGCGGATTTTAACAAAAAGACTCTTGGTATCAATTTTTAGATATCATTAAAATTTCTTTAGATTAGATTTATTTTAATATTACACTAGATTTTATATAGATTTCACAAAAAGGTTAAAATCGGCTACAAGAGGACATTCATTTAATTATTCACTCGGCCCTGAATTCACAAAACAAAATAAAAACGCAAAGCAATCCCTTTTGCTTAGGCTGTTCTTTATGATTAACTGGAAAACAATTGGGTACACTTATGCATTTAATTTTAATTCCCACAACAAAACTTAAGGGCGTAAATCATAAATAAATCCACTACATTAAACTCAATGTTAAGCTTCGGTGCAAAAATGATGCGCCGGCGCAAATCATCATTTTTAGTAATGACCGCAGTTCTCGGCGAAGATGTGACGTGCATTAAGTTACTTGATGAGCTTTTTTTGGATGCAGACTGCGGTTATTAAAGGCCTTATTACATTGTTACATTGTGGCTCAATGCATATTTTTTCCAAATCTTTACATATTAATTCTAAATTTATTCTTTTAAAGATTCTTAGAATTCTACGAGTGATCGGATTTCCTTAATAGGAAAATCGTATAAGCATGCATTCTTGTATGCCAATTTGCAAGTGATGACTGCGAATTTGAATTGAATCATGAGACTGTGGCTCAGCGTAATTACATTTTTCTTTCTAAAATATTCTCTTCCCCCTATTAAATACCTGTAATATTTGATAATCTTTTATTTTATTAAATATGAAAATTTTTCAATTAATTCCGCGTTGTTTACGTTTTGTTTGTCTGATTGCGAAAACGAATCACGTAGGTAGAATTTTATTATATTTGTAACCCATGCGTATAGTCATGAGATCACCTACTGTTGAAAAAATTTTTAAGACGGATCGGCTGGTTGTGGCTCCAGTGGCTCAGATCGGGCGATCGGATGATCGTTATTTAGCGTGTACTTTTTTTTACCGTAACATAATTTCGTGCCTTCTTGCCTAGAGAATCGATTAAGGATTTCCTACAATAAATAACAAGAGCTTTTTTTTTTGGAGAAGGACAAAGCGCTTGAATAATACCTTAAATTTTGACATTTGATCGTTCGCCAATTCTTATGATAAAGAACAATCATGGTCCGAGTTTTGAAATTTGTGATAAGCTGTGAAACTTACAAACGGCTGAATTTTATTAAGCTTATTGACAAGTAAAGGTTAAACTGATTGTTTTCGGCTCTCATATTTTTTAAACTTTGCTGATCGAATCAAAAAGAAAAAAGAATCCCAGAACAATCGATGTGATGATAAGAAGGGTAATCGAATTCGAAAAAGTCCGGAAGATACCGTGTTGGCAATAACGTTTGATTAAGAAACAAAGTCAAAATTCGAATAGATGCGCATATGCAACATTAGAATGCAAGAAGAATATTCCATGCTTGGTTTGATTGTGTTTTGTTTTGCGTATCTCGTTAAAACCTTCGTCAAAAAAAACATGCATTTTTTTTTTTTTTTTTTTTTTTTTTTTGTGCATCAACTTCACACATACATTATACGAAATCAATCCAATAAAACCTTACTATTGTTGTGCGAATGTTGACAAATTCTATTCAATTGTTTTTCTCTCGTTTTTTTTTAAAAAAAAGATGAAAAAGGCAATTGTTTAATTTGACTCCCTTCAGCCTTAAACTCATTTTAGGCCAAGAAAACTTCCTTTTGATCTGCATACAAGCCTAATAAGGTGTTGAATAGCTAATTCTTTCTGAACTTGGAGAAGCGATTTTCATGTGTAAAATAATAAAAATAATAATCACGATTATTAATAAAAAAAACAATTCATCCTGAAAAAATGTATGATTAATAATTGTGTGATATACAATGTAATAAGCGCACAAAAAAATGTCTTTCGAGAAAGACGCGAAACAACGCATTGAAGTGAAAGTATAAATATTTGTATTACGAATGATTTGTAAACCAGACCAATGACAATGAATGTATGCTACTAATGATGGGGGAAACCTTTCTTGGATGAATCTGCTTTTTGGTTTCACGTGAGATTTACAAATTATTAATTACTGTAGTTGTAGATCGAGACACACGATTAAACGCACAGAAATTTTTTCTTTGTTAATTTCTAGAATACTTTGTAAATGCAAGTTTATTGGACATTTTGATTAATTGGCATAGGAATAAAGTTTCAAAGGTTTATCCGGCAATGAATGAAATCAAAATAACGTAAAACGAAATTAAAAAAATATTTACAGATTGGTGCCTTCATTGAGAACATTCTTTTAAGAAAAACAAATGAGTTAAATAAGAAACTTGATTTTTTTATTTCTGTCGATATTTCCAAAAATAATATTAATCTTGTAAAAGGGGTTGCTAAAACATTATTCACCTTTAAATGTACTAGTTTTCCTAAAAGCTTTTTTTTTTTTTTTTAGAAAACGCGTTCCCAGATATTTAACTGGACGACGGGTTTTATTTACTTTACGCCAAGAAGTTTATTGATTCGTATGAAACGAGGATTTTGTAATAATTATACATAATAAACTAACCGATTTATTAAGCCTAGCGTTTTCAAGGTCGCCTTAATTTTATCTTTATAAGGAATTCAATATACAAATAAATC